TTAATTTAGGGGTTAAATTTTGCTGGTAAAATCAAGGTCACCACTATCTACAGCACCAGTAAGTCTGACTGCTCTCCCTTTCCTCCATAATTCCAGCATGTCCATCAGGGTTGTTTATAGAGGCCTCCCTCCTCCTGTTTATGCAGCCTTTTTCTGAAACCTCTCATCACGAGCTCTCCAGGCCTCCAAAGTGCTGACATGATGAATATGCCTTTCTACAACTCCTGCTAGAACTGCTCACATTTGCCAGCCCCCTTTCCCTGCTGCTTCCAGCATTATTAACCCTACTGAAAATGTAGAGATCATCTGCCAGGTCCGCCAGGGCGTTGCACAGATTGTTGGCCTCGCTGCGGAAAGCGCTGGGTGAAGTTTGCTGGGCTCTGCTGTGCTGCAAGTCAGACAACACGGCTGAATAATCCCTCCAGTCTTTCAAATCTGTGGCTCTTTCAGTTTGCCACTTCCAGGCATGGCTGCCTAATCCACTGAACAAGCTGCATCATTTTCCAACATCCCCCCCCCCGCCCTCCACTCCTTCCCACACCTCCTTCCCTTCTCCGGCTTTGCAGTTCCTCTGCTTCTCCACCACGCCGAGCCGGCTGCGCTTTCTTCCAAGGCAGCGCACGTCCCCGCCTGCCTTCCCGAGCCCTGGAGGGCTCTTTGCCTGCCACGCTCCAGCAGCCGAGCTCTCTGGGTCCCCAGCGCACCCTCTCCCCGCCTCCCTCCCCGCCTGTGCCAGGGATGCGGTCGCGCATCCCGGCGCTGCGCTGCTGATGGATGTGAGCAGCAGAGCTTGCTCAGCGCTCCCTGACTCAGGTGCAAGGATTCCTAGAGCTCCTCCATGCCCGTTCCGTGCTTCTGTCTTCCTCCTTCTCCTCCTCCTCCCGGCCAGTACATAATTATACAGGAGGAAATTAAATGCTGTGAGGAGCCGTTAGGAAAGGGAGCATCAAAGACTTCTCTTCAAGCAGGCAGAAACCAAAGGACTATGGATGTTGTTAGGAAGCCAATGTGCTTAAAAATCAAATCAAGTCTCTCCTGGCTCATCGTGTCCATGGGAGCAGTGGCTCATCACAGGAAGAGGCCAGTTCTGGCTTCAGCTTCAGCTACATCCCTGAGGGATTCACGCTGGCAAAGCAGCCCATGGCAGGGCTTATAAACCCAGGAACAGCCCCTGATAATGTGTCCAGGCTCCAGCTCTTTTCACGTGGTTCACACAGGCTCTCATGGATTCATGAAGTGCCAGAGCAAGGTCGATTTGCCATTTTCTGTGGCACATCCCTCCTCCAAGCCCAAATCCTCCCTGCTCTTCAGATTGCAACGCCAAGCCTGGTGCACAAAACCAAGCCAGGCTCCAGTTTTTCCCAAATGGGTCAGCTAATGTCCCCTTCTATTTAAGGAGCTTTGGAAAGGGAGTTACTGGAATGATTATCAGGAGGTTTTGGTTTTTTTTTTTTTTCTCTTGGTTTCTGTGTTAAGAGAGTAGTTGAGGAAAGAAGGGTGAATACACTGGAGGTCTTTACTCAGACCCAGAGCATCTGGTGGCAGAAAGTGCTGATCTTGTAAGGACTTGTAGAGGGGGATACACTCAGGTAAAGTTTAATTTCCTTGTTTTCGTGTCTATTGGGTGAGTGGAAGAAAGAAGAGCCTCATCATGCCTTGCAAGAGCCATTTTACCCTGAGAGGTACCTGTCTGAGAGGGTTGGGTGAAACCTGTGTTTGTTGTTCCTTCAGCACTCATAGAACAGAGTTTCACCCAAAAGTGAGAGTCCCCTGCATGGTCTGACAGCACCATCAGCTCAAGTGCTGGAGCTGGAACTGGAGGCCAAGACCCAGCATCAGTAAAGCTTGGGACAGCACCCTTGGGATTTCATAAAAGTCAGGATTCCTTCCTTTATCATGGCCCAAGCACTGGGCAGACCAGACCCCAGCTTAGCTGCCCTATCTGGGGAAGAACAGAAAATAGTACAGAGAGCAAAGAGGTAAGAACTTGGTATAGTCCATCAGGTGAGCAGGTCTGACCTGGAAGGTGCACACTGGGAGCCTGAGATGGAATACTTTGTGCTGTGGCTGCTGGGGCACGTGGATTGACATCAGCTCCTGAATATCCACATGGTGGAAGGAGCTGGTGTTGGTAGGCAGGTCCTTTGTGAATGATCCATCTGCTACAACCACAGCTGTGGGGGGGGCAAAACAGGGTCAACAGAAGGTAAGGGAAAAAGGATGTCTCCAAAACATGGATCAGCCCATGTCCAAGGCAGCTGAAGGAGGTGGGATGAGATGCTCAACCTCCAGCAGCGCCTTCCTCCAGGGATTCTGGACAGAAGCTGGGTGATGCATTCATACTTTTCCTTAGGGTTAGGCTGAAGGAGGTGATGGGTCACTGGAGAGGATGCAGCCCTGCCCCTCACTCAACTGCCCCTGAGGTTTAGGAGAGGATGGGCTGCAAGGATATCCATCTCTCAGGACTCCTGGACAACACCAGCCAGGGCACTAGCTCCGATTTAAACACCTTATTTGCAGGGGGAAACATAATATTAACAACAACAGAAAAGGCCCAGCAACCCAGATCTTCATTTCATAATCACTCCTGGCAGATAATCAACCTCACTTCTTGCGGAACAAACCATCCTCAACCCACTTCACCCCTCAGAGGTGCCAGTTCCTCCAAGCTGAATGGGAAGGAGTAGAAACAACCAGCTTAAAGGAGACACCCAACCTTTAGGCAGTCTGTGAGGTGAGAGGGATTCCAGGTTTTTCTGGTATAAATCTCCTCTTAAAGGGGTTTGCTTTCACTTTTTTTTTTCATGTGGCTTCTTTAAGGCTTAATGAGATTTAGCAGGAGCTCGAATGTCCTTCCACCTGTGTCACGAGTTCCTTACACAGAGATTTCCCTGGGAATCTTCCTGCATGAGACTGCAGTTTTCAGCACAGGATCTCTCCCCCCCCAAAAAAAGTCACATCTATCCACTGATGCTGCGGCCACCTCCTCTACAGTCCTGATATTGATCTGAAAGGGATTTGCAGTGGAAACCTTCATTTGGCAAAGTCCTGGAGTCTCCAGGGTTCTGCAAGGTGTCTGAACTCTCCACAGCCCACAATAAGTTCTCTGAAGCTGCTCATATATTTGAGGAAAAGCAACATTAACTTCAGAGGGATTTTGGGTCATTCTTTTAAAGCAGAGTGATACAATTTAGGCACTAAAGGGAGTTTCAGACATCTCAGCTCCGGGAGTGTGCTGGCTGCAGAGTTATCCTTAGTGGAGTTTGCAAATCTTATTGTCCCTCCTAAAGCAAAGCCCTATTTTTTGTTGCCTTCTCCTTCTTTCCGTACCGTGTCTGGGGACCACTTATGATCATTTGTGATCCTTTTTTGCAGGGGCACACTAAGATGCCTGTCACTTAGTTTAGAAGACTTAGCTGATCTTGCAGAGTATTGAAGGCCAAGCAGCAGGTTAGATGTCATCCTCTCTGCCCAGAGGAGGCATCCCTGGTAGAGCTGAGTGGATTTGGGATGAGCCAGCGTCAAGTTAAACCCTGCTGCACTTG